TTTCCGCTTTTTTCCAGGGCGGCGGGCCCAGCCAATCGCACGGGGTGGGGGGCGGGGCGGCCGCAGCCAGCCTGGCAGGGCCGCGCCGGGTGGGTGCCTTCTATTTTTTTAATGTTATTACATTTTCTTGTTACATCTCATTTTGCAGAAATAAATAAGCTGGCTGCCGCCGTCATCAGCCACTATTGTGGCCATCCCCGGGGATAAGGATAAGAGCACTAGTAATGATACGTGGCAGCGCTTCCGGCACGTAATCACGCTTTACTATCGTGTCATCATTTATTCTTGCTACGCGTATGATTAGCGTGATCAATAATAATCGAAAATGGGAGCCCAGGGATGTCTGGCGTCCCCGGGTGCGAAGACCGGAAGGCAGCCGTGTGGTACCACGGCCTTGCAAAGCGGGTTTCACAAAGCAACCGCCTGCTTTGTGACTGCAGTTGAATGGCGGGGGCTTTGCCACCAGAAACGCTGTTTCTCTGAGCAGCTGGAGTAGGCAGCATGCTGAACGCGCAAAGGGGAGCAGGTTATTGTGTGTCTTATTCTGGCTTTGGAGCATAGGCGCCAAGTACGTGGGGGCCTGCGGGCCCTGGCCTCCCTCGGGAAGAGGCCCCGTCCCTAGTTGGGCTGAACGGTCCCAAAATGGACATCAAGTCCTGGTCCCAGGCTGCGTGACTGGGACAGCATTTGTCCTGGATTCCCAGTATCGCGCAGGGATCCAGGTTTCCCGTTCACTGCAGAAAAGCGTGGGACGTGGTTGGCTTCCCCTTGCAGGCTAGCACCGTTCAGTCTGTAAGGAGCTGCAGGGAGTGGGATGTAGCAGGTGTCACGCACGTGGCCAGGAATGCAGCCCCTGGCAGTGGTGCAGAGCAGCTCCCCCAGATGCCTGCAGATATGTCGGGGCGGGGGAGGGTATCTCTTCGGTTCCTCTTGAATTCCCAAAGTGATCTTCAACCTAAAACGGTTGGAGACCACTGGCCTAGATCATCCCTGATGCGGGTAGCTGTCCAACCTCTTCTTGAACATCTCCAGTGACAGAGAGTCCGCAGCTTCCCTAGGCAGTCTATTATCTCTTCTTTATGACAGCCTCTCAAGTATTTGAAGACTACTATCATGTCTCCTCTTAAGTACCTTTTCTGCAAGATGAACATCCCTAGCTCATTCAGCCTCTCCTCATAGGACTTGCTTTCCAAGCCCTTGATCATCTTTGTTGTCTGCCTCTGGACTCTAACTTCTCCACATCCTTTTTAAAATGTGGAGTCCAGAATTGCACAGAGTACTCCAAATGAGGATTAACGAGTGCCAAGTGTAAAGGTACTATCACCTCCCATGTCTTCCACCTAATCATTGGTGATGTGTAGAGGGTGCATATGCACCCCCTGAGATCAGCCATGCACCCCCTGGAAGCGCCAGCCGTGAAACTGGAAGTGCCAGCAGAAGTGCTCTTCCAGTGCTGCAGGTTTTGCTGCTGGTGGTTCCAGGCTCAGTGATCAGCTGCTGACCCCCGCCCCACCCCATTGGCGATCTGGTGCCCCCCGAGACTCAGGAGGCATCAGTCGCCCATGCACCTAATCCTTCTATTGATGCATCTCACAACCGCATTTGCCTTTGTCTGCATCGCACTGCAGACTCATATTGAGTCTGTGATCTACCAAGACTCTCAAGTCCCTTTTCTTAGTGCTGCCATCCAGTCAGCTGTCACCCATTTTATATTTGTGTTTTTGGTTATTCTCCTGAGGTGTAGGGCAGCACCATATTCTGTACTTAGTAGTTTATTCTGCACAACAAGGGAGGGCAATTTACCTTGCAGTTCCCACTAACACATCACACTTCTTCCTATGAACATACAAATCCTTGTCAAAAGGCTGGCATCTTGTTTGGAATCTAATAACTGGAAATAGATTGGTACGGACTGCTTGCACTATAGGACAGGCCATTCAGCAGCCACAATTCCTGGTACTTATTCAATGTATTTTTTTTACTCCCAAGATTATATGAAGGTGATTTACGCCTTACTCTGAATGCCTGGAAAATATTTTATTTGTTTGATTTACCTTATGTGCACTGGACAAATAGAATAAAAATCTGAGTGGCCTTGTATGCTAAACAGAGCTTCAACCCACAACCCTCCAAAGCATAGGCATCAACTTTTTTTTTTTGCTGGGGGGAGGGGCATGCTAAGATGATGCCCTGCTGCCCCACAGCAAGACTGGAGCAGAGCCAAGTGGAGCCTGTAGTGCATTGTAGACAGCCAGTGCAGCTCCCAGAGGAAAGGCAGCAAGGTGGGGAGCCCTGAGCCTGCAGCAGACAACCCGCATCCACTCCTGCCCCTGCTCCTGCTCCATGCACAAATCTCGGGGCACTTGTTTCCCCATGCCTCACACCCCAGGAGTGCATGCAGCGGCACTGAGCCCTCCCCCCTCCCCTGCCTGTGGCTCTGTCCTGCTTGCCACCCCAGCCCGGGGCTCCATGCACCACCCAGGCTGGGTCTGCACTCAGGCTGGGTGGCTGCAGTGCCAGCACAGGGAACTGGACGACGGGGAGGGAGGCATTACTGCTCCCAGCGCCGCCACCGTCCACGCTGAGCGGATGACCACTGATCATCAGTTGGTGACCACTGATCTAGGCATAGCTAAGCCAGTGTATAGGTACTACTATAGGTATTGCCCATGCGCTGGGCTTTGCTGATTGTCTACCACCCTTGTCCAGATTGGAATGGACTGTGGGTTTTTCTGCCTTCCTCTGTAATGGGAGATGTGGCCCTCTACCTTGGACCTCTTGAGCGTATATTGACAATATTTTATAGAAGCAGGGCATAGGCTGCTGTGGTTCCCTGCTTTACCTGTTGCTGGTTAGGGTGTTAGGTCTATGTTGTGTCAGGGTTGACAGTAGCCTTCTGAAGAGTTTAGATTATGGTTTATATAGGATGGTTTGGATAGACATAATCCTGCCTCAGGCAGGGGGTGGGGCAAGACGGCCTCTGGAGGTCCCTTTCAGCTCTTCTTTATGATTCTGTGGTGAGTCCAACAATGGCTCCGTCTGAAATGCATCCATTCTATGTCCATACCAACCACATTTTGTGAAGATCTCTTCCTGTATTTTTACACTTGGGTCTTGTCAAGTTCAAATTCCGGTCATAAATCCAATCTGCACTGGGGGGATTTAGGAAATCTCTTATCGCTACACTGCTACAAGGGCAACTAATTCAACCGCTTAGAACTTTTCTGATGAAATAAAGTTTCATTGAAAAATGCTGGTTTGTTGAGCCCAAATGTTCCATTCAAGCCCTTCTTCTGACCCCTGAAATATTGAATAAGATTTTTCATATTGCACCTTTCTTGGACTTTTGTATATCTTGTCATTTGTGGATGTAGTGAGAAGCAGCAATCTTATTCTCTCAGCTTTAGTTTTTTTATAGATAGACTTTTTTTAAAAGGCAACATTTCTTATTAGAGCTGTTCTAGGGTAGGAGATGCCAGAAAAATATGCTGTCATAAACATTTTTGATGAGCTCTACATGCATA